GACCAGGGCACCTCAAAGGTGACCAGAGCACCCCAAGAGTGACCAGGGACACTAAGAGTGACCAGGGCACCTCAAAGGTGACCAGAGCACCCCAAAGGTGACCGGGAACCCCCAAGTGTGACCAGAGCACCCCAAAGGTGACCAGAGCACCCCAAGAGTGACCAGGGCACCCCAAGAGTGACCAGGGCACCCCAAAGGGTGATCCAGGAGTGACCAGGGTACCCCAGAGATGTCCCAAGAGTGACCAGGGCACCCCAAAGGTGACCAGGAACACCAAGGGTGACCAGGGCACCCCAAGGGTGACCAGGGACACCAAGGGTGACCAGGAACCCCCAAGAGTGACCAGAGCACCCCAAGAGTGACCAGGGCACCCCAAGGCTGACCAGCCCCTCCCCCCTCAGTGAGTCTGGGGGCTGTCCCGGCCCTGTGGTGACCCTGAGGTGACCCCGAGGTGACCACGCCGTTGTCTCCTGTCCCCATGGCAGCCCCTGGCCGAGTTTGACCTGCGGGACATCTCCTACCGCGTGCGCGGCCCCACGAGCCACGAGCTGGAGCTGCCACCGGCCACGGGGACATCGGGGACAGCAGGGACATTGGGGACATCGGGGACAGCGGGGACAGCAGGGACAGCGGGGACAGCGGGGACGGTGGCGCTGCGGTTCCCCGAGGAGCGCGAGGCTCAGCAGTGGTGGACGGTGCTGAGCAGCTCCCTCAGGGAGGCACGGAGAGGTGGGACACGGGGACATCGTGGGGACATCGTGGGGACAGGGATGGGGACATGGGGACATGGGGACATAGGGATGTGGGAACATGGGGATAGGGATGGGGACACGGAGATGTGGGGACAGGGATGGGGATATCGGGGGGACATTGGGAACATCATGGGGACATTGTGGGGACATTGGGGACACGGGACAGGGATGGGGACATCGTGGGGACACAGGGAAGTGGGGACCCGGGACAGGGATGGGGACACGGGGCAGGGATGGGGACATCATGGGGACATTGGGGACACTGGGGACACAGGGATGTGGGGACATGGGGCAGGGATGGGGACATGGGACAGGGATGGGGACACAGGGATGTGGAGACATGGGGCAGGGATGGGGACATCGTGGGGACACTGGGGACACAGAGATGTGGGGACATAGGACCGGGATGGAGACGCAGGACAGGGATGGGTACATGGGGACAGGGATGGGGACATCGTGGGGACAGGGATGGGGACACAGGACAGGGATGGGGACATGGGGATGTGGGGACATGGGGACAGGGATGGGGACACGGGGATGAGAACATGGGGATGTGGGGACAGGGATGGGGACATCGTGGGGACAGGGATGGGGACACAGGACAGGGATGGGGACATGGGGATGTGGGGCAGGGATGGGGACATTGAGAACATTATGGGGACATTAGGGACACAGGGATATGGAGACACGGGACAGGGATGGGGACACTGGGGACACAGGGATGTGGGGACACGGGGCTGGGATGGGGACGTGGGGCAGGGATGGGGACATCATGGGGACATTGGGGACACGGGGATGTGGAGACATGGGGACA